ATTTGTACTAGTATCATTTACATTTTCATTTTGAAAAAAAAAGAATATTGAATAATTCTGGTAAGCTTATTGTAGATCCATTTACAGAACAGAGGTTCTTTGTAAAGACATAGTATCTGTTGGGCTTCATAGATGAGAGCAAGGACTGGGAACTGATGGTGGTGCATCCTGCTGCCAGATTAAGAGAGTTTAGGGACTAGAATCACAATGGACATTTAGGAGAGGGATTTTGTCTGTCCATTGAAGGAAATTGCTTCTCAGTAAAATGGTATTTAATTAACTACCACAGTCTCTGATACAGCAGGTTTTCAAAACATAAGGTTTGTGTGAACATATATAAACACCATGGGCACTGATCCCCGAGAAAGTTACTGTCATTGTCAGCTGGCAATTCTTTTGGGAATTGTGATGCTTGTATTGCACGTATGTCTTTTTCTTTGATGGAGCATGTTCCCAAAAATGGAAGCAATCACCCTGGCTTCATTTCAACAGAAATCTGAAGAAACATATCCTCTTTTGGAACGAAAATAATACTTGCAGACAAGCTCTGTAAAGCCAAATGTATTGTTAAGATGTAAATATAAATAGCAAAATGGAAACAAGATTTTTGACCCCAAGTGCCTAGTCCTTACAGTTTTTTGGGACTTGCTGATTCAGCACTTAGCAAGTTTAATACTGCTTGATCCTGAATCACTGTAAAAATGGAAATCACTGATCCTGATTATTTTGAAGTTAGTAGAAATCAGAACCGTAGAACAAAGCAGTCTGGGGCCTCGCCTGCTGGTCTTAAAAGTTGAAATGAGTTTCTGTTATGATTTTACAAAGCCTAAAGCATTTTAGATGACTTCAAGTGTATGAATTATTGGAGAAAATATAATTATGTCTGTGAGTGATAGATGTTAGGTGCAAATATTTAACTTCTTGTATTTTGTATTGATGTATTGTATTGAATAAATATAATGAACTAATGGAAGTTATTAATTTGTCACTCAGCAAAAGTTAATTAACCTCTTAGAAATCTAAATTTGGAAAAAATAAAATCGTAATTTTGAGGGAAAAAGATATTATTTTTAAATATTTACGTATTTTCTAAGGTGAAAATAATTATTACAGAAACATTGGAATTCTGACCACAAGGTAACATGAAGACAGACTCCCTCAGCTAAAAGTCTATGCAAAAGAAAGATATCAGCTTTCGCAAATTAATGTTCACCTTTAAAGGGGTTCTTTTTTCAATGTCTTCACACTTAACCTTTTTTCCTGCTTCTCCAGGGGAGATGAGAACTTTGTATCCTGCTCTGAAGGTGATGGGCTTCTCCTGCAGCTTATAGAAAAGTCATTTACATTTGTTACCTCTAGAGAAGTAGTTCTTCTTTTCTTTGCCTGAAGAACTGCTCATAGTCCCATTGCTTTGCTAACTTAAGTACTTCACATATAGCAAAAGCTAGTTTGTTTGGTGGTTACCATGAGTGTTTTAAGATAACCGCTGAAAAAAAACTTTAGAAACCCTTGGTTTGAGTAGGTGATGTTTATGTCGTGTTGCTGACAATGAAATGACATGCTGTTAGTAAGTGAAGTACAATATAGTCTCTTCAAAGTACATACACTTCACTAAATAGGTATGCTTTGAAAATGCTTGTTTCATCTTGAAGTTTACAGCAGTGCTGTGCAACTGGAATTTAGGCCATCTGTCAAAAATTCACAAAGGCTGCATATACAGTCTATGCATTTAAAAAAAAGGTCTTTAATTAATAGAGTGTTTCTTCCATGAACTCTTACCATGCAGACATAGCAAATCAGCAAGCTAAAAGAGTCCTGGTCCTGAGTTCTGCTGAACATCCGATATTCAGTTTGAGGTATCTCCATGCATGCGTGTGTGAGAGGGGAATCCTGTTTCCATCTGCTGACTGCAAAACATGCTGATATTTTCTAGTCAGCAGGGGCTCTTGCTCACTTTAGGTACCAAAAACATCCCATTCCCTGTTGATGGTCCCATTTCTCCTTTCACTGATCTTATGTGCCACAGTCTATTCTAACTGTACATGTTAAACAAAGTTGTTTGAAGGTTAACAGGAAACCTTTTCCAAATAACAGTTTTGTAAACAGTGAAAATCAGTCTAGGGCTCCTGAAGGTCTTTAAAATAGTGTGTATATATTTTTTTATTTTTTTAAGAAGTTGATATCAGAACAGTAATGATTTGGTTGTACAACAGAACAATTTTAGAACTCATTGTTTATTTTCATCTGAAAGGTTCTTAAATGGGTTTTTCTAAATATAAATATGTATATATCAGATTTAGTGACTGTAATGGGAATACCTGAATATTTTGTCTGTAGAAGAGAGGTTCTTCCTTAGAAGAGACTGAAAAATAAAATATTAATTTTATAATATCTGTGCATATCTGCGATGAACCACGTTTTTTATTGTGCAAATATAACCTAGTTTCTAATCTTCTTAGGCTATAGATAAGGCTGTAGAAATTTAGAAACTAATTCATTAATTCATTTGCTACCCATTCACATTTCAATTAGTATTTCCTGGCTGGCTTTGACTACCCCTTTGTCATGCCAGCAGGCTGTGTAACTTCTGCTAAATGCCTTTATTTTCGAGCTTTTATACAAATTCACTTCAGTCATGACACATTTATTTTCAGATTGTGACGGAAAGGTTTGGAGAAAATATGCGCAATAAGAAAGTATATAAATCTAACATATGTAAATACTATCTCATTTGCTGAAAGATCTGTCAGTTACTTAAGACTTCTTGGCCATTTTGCCTGCTTGTAACTCCTGCAAATGTGCATTTGGCTAGTTCAATGTTTTGTGTAAATGATTTTGTATCTTATTATTCTATGTGAATATTCTGTACATCTGATAAATTCTTTCTGAAGTAATCTTCTGTTTGTTTAAGGAGTTATTGGCTGTTAGTCTTTGAATATATTGTGTTATATATATAATCCCAACTTGAAGTATTAATGGTTCTTCAACTAAGATCAGTGATCACATGAAAATGAGGTTAAACTGTTCTTACTTGTAACTGCTTCATATGTATGCTCTTACAAGTGAAGTTTCTTGTGTTGCCGTAGCAAAGATCTCAGTATTTATCTGAAAACATGGGAACAAATAATTATGAAGCAAACCAGTCAATCTTTAGCAGGAAAAAACACTTCCCTAAACTATAAAAGGTTTTAATTACATCTGAAGAGGCCTCAGTGTGATCTTCAGTAGAAAAGTCTGCGTAAATTATTTGACAGTGGTGGTCTGCCAAAAAAAACCTGGGGAACAAGGCAAATCAGACAGTTGAAGTTTAATTAGTGTTGTGTGTGCATCACGAATGCAGAGAGGCTTAAAAGCCACCAGAACTATTCCAAATAACATTTTGGGAAATAATTTCTGAGTTTGGCTCTACTGTGTGATTTGACTGTGGGATCTGGAGAATGAATTTTTACATGTTTTATGAAAGCTTGCAGCGGAATAAGAAGTGGACTGTTTTTGTTAAAAACACGAGTCACAAGTTGTGGTAGCAGTTAGAAAAATACACTTCATTAATTTTCCATATGTCAATTTATTCAGACAGTGTAGTACTCAAGTTATAGACAGTTTTTTAAAAGGTGCTGTTCTAACAGTAAAATCTAGTAACTTTCCAACATGGAGAAGAGTGGTAATCCTGAGACTTGTATAGGATCAGACCTAATTAGACACCTCTTCAGCTTTTCTGGAGATCTTCTGTATGAGAAGAAAGTGATTTTGTAGTTTTGTTTTGCTTTGTAGATAAATAGTTTATGAAATTAAATTATCCATGATATTGTTGGAAAAAATATATTAAAGCAAGTGTATGAAGTATAGTATTATCAACATGTAGGAGTTATATACTTATAAAACAAGTAAGTATCAATCATATATCTCTCAACACTGATTAAAAATATCTAATCTTGAGGATGTAGGTATGCTACACTATATTCTTTGCCTGATGGCATATCTTGAAAAAATAAAAATGTTGCATTGCTTAAAAATAAGATGTAAAGCTAAAGAAGGTACTTCGAAAAAGAACTGCAGTTTCTATACAAGTTCTTATTTTACTGCATTAAATACTTAATAATGAATAATAGTGTGAAGTTTAACTATTAATCAGAGATGGGTGAAATCTAAGTCCTAACTGGTATCAGTTTTAAAATAACTTCCGTTGAAGTACTTGTTGAAAGCATACTGAAGGAATGAACTGCATTAATCACTTCATTATGAAATAAAATGTTTTATGGAGATATTACTTTGTGTTTCCTCAAAATGTCAAATTTCTCCATATCAGCTTGCCAGGAAGGGAAAAAGCTGGTAGAAGAAGCCTGAGGAATGTTGTAAGGTTTTTTTTTCTCTATGAGGAATGGCAGCCTTGCATATCTTTCCAGTACCTGTTAATTTAAAAAGCAAATTAAAATACTCTTTCTCTACAGAGTAGCTTAATATCTGACAATCAGTCTGCTGTGTACTGCCTTACAGTTTGAACATTTTATTCTTTTTCTTTGACAGTAGTAGAACCAGATGTAGATTCAGATTCCCCGCAGTGGCTCCCCTTTCAATATACTGAGTGTTCGCTATCAGACTGCTACCTACTGGTTTTTGGTTTTTAGCAGAGAAAATATTTAGTTTGCAGGCATGTGTGGAAAAGCTGACATGCATGAGGCAGTTAGCGGTGATTGGAGACGATGTGGCCCGACTGATTTGCAAAGCTAACCAGTGAACTTTCAGTGCTATTTTTTGTCATTAATAATCCAAGTCAACTGTAGAACATGGAAGCTTTTCTTGAAGTTACTGAAATCAAACACTTCATATTGACATCTAAATGGGAATAATTTTCTCAGTATTTTAATCTTTCATTTTTATCCTGTATATATCATTACACTCATGTAAATAAATACAGTTCTTTCAAAACAGTAATATGATCAGCAATTATAAACTTATATGGAAATATGTAATTGAATTTTTCTTTCTTTTTTCTGCTATAGGGCGGATTATACCAGAAAGAAGATTTGTAGAAGCAGTAAATCGTGAAGCATATCAGTATCAAACGGGTGACTTTCCAACAGAATGGGAAGGTAAATCCTGAATATATTGGGTTTATTTCAAGATAATTTTTGTCACTGAATATAGACTGTATTTTTAATGGAATGTCTGACTATGTGAATAGGTTAGTTGTTATCTTTCATTTTAAGTAATGCAGGCTTTTATTTAACTGCATAACGATTATGAATTCTTAAAGTAACCCCTTATAAGCAGGATAAATTTTGCTTAGGAAGTCAGTACTTAGTAAAAGTAAAGCCTGTATGGTCATGATTTACTCCTGTTAAATGTGAAGATATTTGTTCCAGAGAGGGGTATGATTGAATAACCATACAGAATGTGTTAAACCTCTGTATTATGTCTTCACTGTGCTGTTTATTTGTAGGACAGTTGAATTATTGGTGGCACAGTCATGGGGCTTGCTTTTTTTTTTTTATGGTAATATTTGGTTTCCTATAGTTTTCCTTGCACAATCTAGTAGGGAGTTGTAGAACCTGTTAATATTTAGCCATTTTATCCCACTGCTACTGATTAAAATCTAGTCTGAAAATTTGGGGCATAATAAAAAAAAAATCAGGGAATTTAGAGTCCTAAGTTTCCTTAGGATTAGCTGATCAGTCTTAAACAATCAAGAAATCCAGGACTTGTTAAGGAAGAAGAGAACCACCCACCAAGCACACCTTGCACTGCCATCCTGTCACGCAAGAAAAACAGCCTTTCATCTCGCATGCAGCAAGCTCCAACAGAAACTCCGTGACATCCAGAACAAGTGGTGGATCGATCTAGCTGAAAAAACTCAATTATGCGCAGATATGGGTGATCACAAAGGATTCTGTGAGGCCCTGAAAACAGCATATGGGCCTACATACCAGGTACAAAGCCCTCTACTCAGCGCTGATGGTCAAATGCTTCTAACAGATAAATCCTCCATTATGAATTGATGGTCTGAACACTTTCAGACTCTTTTCAGTACCAACCGTGTAGTCCAAGACTCAGCAATTCACTCCATCACACAACAACCAGTAAAGTATGAATTGGATACTGCCTCCGCTTTAGGAGAAACCCTCAAGGCCATACAGCAGGTGAAAATCGGCAAGGCAGCTGGGGTTGATGGAATTCCACCTGAAGTCTGGAAACATGGGGGCCTTGCACTCCATGCTAAATTTCACGAGTCTGTGGTGCGCTGTTGGGAACTAGGTGAACCACCATCAGACCTTCAAGATGCAGTCATCATCACTTTGTATAAGAAGAAAGGAATTAAATCAGACTGCTCAAATTACTGTGGTATTACTCTGCTCTCCATTGCTGGCAAAATCCTGGCAAGAATACTCTTGAACAGACTAATACCAGCTATAGCAGAAGGAATCCTACCTGAAAGTCAGTGCGGTTTCAGAGCCAACAGTAGTACCACAGACATGGTATTTGTCCTCAGACAACTGCAAGAGAAGTGTAGGGAACAGAACAAAGGTCTCTATGTAATCTTTGTCGACCTCACCAAGGCTTTCAATACTGTGAGCAGAAAAGGTCTGTGGCAGATTTTGGAATGTTTAGGTTGTCCCCTGAAGTTCCTTAAAA